TGCAGCGTTAGGAAATGTTGTTTCCCATGTATGTATTTTGTTGTTGTGTGTTTGCAAGTTATGCAATCCATGCAATCCGTGCTATGTGCAATGGGTTTGCAAGATTTGGAGAATACCCCTTATCTGAACAAAGTAGGCAATATCCGGAATCTGCGTCCTAAAAATATTCAAGTATAAATATGAATGACCTCTTTTTTTTGGCTGTCGACTAGTATAATATGCACATAAATATTTATGTACATTGTATGTAAGTACGTTGTTAGCACATTTAAAGCTTCATAACCTGATTTGAGTTTTTTGAATTTCATTTGATTGCTGATAGCTCTTGACCTTGCGACAAGTTGAAAAGATAGCAATGCCAGGCTGCGCTGATGCAAGCGCAGTCCGACATGTGTACACTGATATGTATATGTATATATATACATACATATGTATAAATGTACATTAGAGTGGTCCAAAAAATGTTTTCCCGAGATAGGGTTTGGGGCACCTTCCCCAAGTTTTCCTCTTGCCGAAAGAGGTGCTGGTACCAAACTTTGCGTTTCTAAGTATAAATTTAGAGGATGCTCATTATGCTCATATTTTACTCTAGAAGTATTGTGTACATACATATATTAATCAACAAATTGGTTAAAAAACCTAAAAATATTTCATATTTAAATTATCTAAAAAACATATCACAAGCTTCAGTTGTCATGGCAACAGTCGCTTTTTATAAAAATCATCAATATTTTTGCCATTTTCATAGCAATCCAGAAGCGCATTTCAAGGTTATTGAGCACCCTGTATTGGTTGTCGTAGAAAACTGTATTTGGTATAGATGTTACAAATATCGAAAGGAAAAAACTAAACGGGGGCCCCGTTTTCAGGGATTACATTTTCTCCCCCATTCAAAAATTGGAACACTATAATGTACATTAGGGTGGATCGACAAAAAAAGTTTTTCCAGTCCACCCCTAGGATTAAAGATATTTTGAAGGCGATCGCAAAAAAAATTTTTTTTTTTTGCCACGCCCCCCCGATGGGCTATTTACTTTTTTTGACACTACGTCGCCATTTTAAGTCCGATTTTAATGAGCCGTACACCGTTGTTCATGGCTTGGAAGCCGCCACAATTATTACCTTAATCATTTTTTAGAAAAAGTTTCACAGAATTTAAAGGCCTTTTCGACAGACTAAAAAAAATTGGAATTTAGGTATGATGTGAAACGAGAAACCGACAGTCACTACTAGAATTTGACCTCGGAGTAAAAAATGATTAAGGTAAGAATTGTGGCGGCTTCCAAGCCATGAACAACGGTGTACGGCTCATTAAAATTGGACTTAAAATGGCGACGTAGTGCCAAAAAAAGTAAATAGCCCATCGGGGGGGCGTGGCAAAAAAAATAAAAATTTTTTTGGGATCGCCTTCAAAATATCTTTAATCCTAGGGGTGGACTGGAAAAACTTTTTTTTTTGTATGGGGACCGATTCGCACTAATGTACATACATACATACATACCTAATTATATGGTGCTTTAGAAATGATCATGTAAATTTATATTATTACGTATTTATATTTACACAAATTTATACATTTAAAAAACTTTTATTAAATAAGAAGATTATGCAATTATCACTGACATAAGTTCTTAATCTTATTTTCTCATGCGAATTAATAACATTTAAATATTTTATGTACGTGCATAAATAGGTACATATGTACATATATATGTATATATGTATGTTGGTTAATTTACATACCCTGCAAAAAATTGTGCGACGAATCAGAATGAAAAGAGAGGTCGATTAAGCCATGCCTGTCTGTCTATCCGTCCGTCCTTCCGAACGTCTGTCCGTGTACACGATAACTCGAGAAAAAATTGAGATTTCTCAACCAAATTTGTTGTGTAGGCTACCCTTTATCCAAGGTAGGTTGGTATTGCAAATGAGCGAAATCGGACTGTAACCACACCCACTTCCCATATAACGGTATTTTCGAAAAAAAAAATTAAATTTAAAATTAAAAAAAAAAATTTGAAAATTAGTATGTGGAGTATAATTTTAGTAGAAAATAATATTGTTATGAAATTTTTGGAAAATGGGCGTGACCCCGCCCACCTATGATGAAATGCTGTATCTCAGTAGCCGCTTCATTAATCCCTACCAAACTCGGTACGAGGCTTAGGTGCGGTCTAGCTAAGAAATCTGTTGAAAATCTTTGAAATCGGGCAATAACCACGCCCACCTTCCATATAACCGAAATTTACAGAAACACGAAAACTGCGATAAATCAGTAACTACTTGAGCTTATTCACTTAAAATCGATGATTGCAATAAACACTTAGCAGAAAATTGGTATATTATAAATTTTTGGATAATGGGCGTGGCGCCGCCCACTTATGACCANTCCCTACCAAACTCGGTACGAGGCTTAGGTGCGGTCTAGCTAAGAAATCTGTTGAAAATCTTTGAAATCGGGCAATAACCACGCCCACCTTCCATATAACCGAAATTTACAGAAACACGAAAACTGCGATAAATCAGTAACTACTTGAGCTTATTCACTTAAAATCGATGATTGCAATAAACACTTAGCAGAAAATTGGTATATTATAAATTTTTGGATAATGGGCGTGGCGCCGCCCACTTATGACCACAAATGTGTATTTCGGTAACCGATTCATCAATTTCCACCAAACTCGGTGCACTTAATAACCTTGGTACGGAAAAGCAATTTGTTGAAAATTATTCAAATCGGACAAAAATTGCACCCTCTTCCCGTATAACGGTAAATTTCAGATATACGAAAACTCCGATATTTCAATAACTGAGGACTTACAACAATTCCAAGAATAAATAAGAATGCTATAAACTTTTAGGTAGTTTAAAGAAAGTGGAACGACATTAGTTGTTACCTGCGTCGGGTATATAAAATTCGGTTTCGCCCGAACTTATACTTCTTTACTTGTTGGAGATAAATTAGTATCTACTCATCTCTTACGGATATAAAAGAGGGTGACAGGGAATAAGGTCAATGGAAATAAGGTCAATTGACTTTATTTCCCACCCTGGTGCGAAATAAAGTCAATTGACATTATTACCTTTTCAAAAGCGAAATAAAGTCAACAAAACTTTGGAAATAAAGTCATTGACGTTATTTCCTCATTCAAGTGGAAATAGCGTCAACAATGCTTAAAGTATGTCGATTCATAGAAAAAAATGTTGTTCTTACAATAAACATTGCCCCGTAAGTGTTGTTTTTTAATAGATGAAAAAGGTTATTGCCAAATCCTCAGTGTTGTGATATTAATCCACACACAATCATGAACTACCACCATTTGATTTTATTAAAAAAATTTAAATTACGAATATGTAAAGACACAATGCGAAAAACTAAACGCCTGCGCACAGCTGGAATACGAGAAATATTTGACGAAAGAGTGTAGAAATGATCCATAACTTGCAAAACATGTTTCGTTTCCACAAAAATAAAGCGAACACTATTAAATTAAAGAAACAGCCCATGTCCAAAAACCCCGGAGGAACACTGAAAGAATTCTGTGTTTTAAATTAGCATATTTTGAACGAATTCGGAATGTTTAAGGTGGAAAAGAAACCAACCTTTCTATAAGGAAACAATTATAGAAAAAGAATTTTCTTACACTGTATTCATGTATCCGCCAGCAATTTGTGACGACATCATTTAAAAGCAGCTAAGGAGAATGACGACACTATTTGTTAGATGGCACATTCAACGAGCCAATGTGCCAAAATGCGGATATAAACAGTTATTGATTATTTAGTATCGGAACCGAGATCATATAAGTTAATTGATTGGTTTTCACACACTTTTGAAACACAAATTATATGCTTTTTTACTGCAGACAAGTTGTTGCCCCAAAACACAGCAGAAATCTTCCAATCAGGGCTGTCAACTATCCTTAGTTATGAGGTGCCATATTGAGGATAAAAAAGTGCCAAAATGTGCCAAATAGAAAAATAAAAGTGCCAAAAAAGGTGTAATTTTTTTTGCCTTTTAATCATTCACATTTAGCAATAAAATAAAGCTGCATTTTCCAAACAAAAGTGCAATGGTAAAATAAGATAAACCAGTTGAATAGCCTTTACAAATTAGAAAATTTTAGTTGAGAAAAAGAAGTGCACGCAAAGGATTTCACAAAAATGTATTGAAATGTAATTTTTTTTACAAAAGTGCCATTTTGGCACTTTGTGCCAAATTGAAAAATTAAGTGCCATTTGAAGTAAAATAGGTACAAATGGCACGGTTTGAGCCAAGTTGGAATCCCTGCTTCTAATAACTTACAAATGTTAACATGTGAAATATCGAGGGCTTGAATTCATTAATACCCTCTATCTGCAATGACGCGGGCCGCCGCGAAGCTAAGCAAATATAATGTTTGAAAGAGAAATTTTGTCAATGGATTTTATTGCGTTTCTAAAAAGGTAATAATGTCAATTGACTTTATTTCGCACCAGGGTGTGAAATAAAGCCAATTGATCTTATTTCCGTTGATCTTATTACCTGTCACCATAAAAGAGATCAATTAGTTTCCGACTCATATCTAACAGGTACAATTAACGATTTAAATATACGTAGGTACTTACATATGTATGTAGTCAACTAAAATTCATGTGCGACGTATGCATGAGCACCCCGGTTCGAATTGCAGCTGGTGCAAGATTTTATTTTAATTTTTAAAAGCGACTATTCGCTTTCTGTACCCATACGGGTATAAAGCGGAACAACTAGGCTCTTCATGGACATACTCGAACAAAAGCGACACGTTCATTCCATATAAATACATCAAAAAGTGCATTAGCCGCATGTTCCTTTTTCTATTGCCCCCGGAGTCATTCCGAATTAGTGGCAGTTTTTGCAGGGTATGTACAACTACAAGTCTACGTGCATTTTATGTAACTACATTGAGCCTACATAATACATACATACATACAAAAAAAATTTATAATAATTAAAGCCCATTTCATTTTATTTTCAGAGGAACTGGTTAGCAGGTAATAAAAAACAATGATTTCGTTTTCTCAAAAAAATTTTATATTTCCATTTAATCTCTTTCTTTTAAGGCGTGATTTCCATAAATTGTAAGTACCTTAACAATGAAGGAATCATTTATGTAAATACATTAATGTGTATTCCTAATTGGCTTGGTACAAATTTTTTTTTATTGAATATGCATACATTACATACACACATACATATGTATGTTTTTTTATCAGCCATTCAAAATTTATTTAAAAAAATGTGTTCTTGAGCTAAGATTTCGATACATTCACCTTATTTCTTATCAAAATTTAGACATTATAGCCAGCATCATCAAACTGTACAAGAGGCTAAGCAAAATCTGGGAGATGTAGCTGCTGGATTTGATGGGTATGTTTCAAAATAATTATGTTGATATTTACATACCGATTGCTATAGAGAAATCGACAGATATGGTGTTTAACGAACACACTCTTATCGATAGAATTATCTATAAATATTTAGAAAATATTGATAAATGCATATATCGGTAACGATATCAATCAGTAACTATTTCGGTGATGGAATCGATAACATAAGAGTAGGAATACGATAATAATGGTGAGATCAAGGCGTACTTACATTAAATTTAAGAAGGAATGGACTGTAATGAAATTGTGGTAGGCCAGAAACATAAGAACGATTTTAGAAGCACACAGGCATAGGTTCCCATTGCGCTCAAAGCTTAGAGAAAGGATAAAAAGGATATGTGGTGAGGTGATCTAAACGATCATCATGCTCTAAACAAGATATACACAGTGGGCCGTCGATGATCTGTTAGTATGTCGTGCCTATGAATTGTTACCCGTTATTAGCCCTAAGAGGGCCATAACTTTGTTCTTCTCTATCTGAGAAGGAATTTCGCCACCACCCGTTTGGAATTTTCTGGAAATACTTCGTTATTTTGCGAGTGTCAGAAATAAGCCTTATCTATGAGAGCCCTGACAGTTCTCGCTATGTGTGGCCCTATTACTTGCTCAATAAGAGGCTCCAAAGATCCGCAGTTCGCCAATTCATCAGCCACATCCACTCAGCCACTCAGCAGCAGCGATGTAGAAAATAATGGTGGCGTCATCCGCGGACCGCTAACCTGGCAAAAGAGCAGATTAGCTCAAGCAACGACTGTTGCCAGAGTGCCAGGTCACCTTCTCAATTTGGTGAATAGCCCTTATGTTTTGACCAATGTTTATGCCCCTTTGCAAAAGAGGGAGGTTATTGGAAAAGCCGTTGAAATGCCAAAGAAAATAAGATAAATTTTCCCGATAAGATATTTGACTACGTTCTAAATGCACCTAAAATGGTGTGCTTGTACCGTACCGAATAAGTGGTTTAATGACGTAGTCATTTCAAAATTTACCAAACAGTGTTGCCAGAACTTTTTGGACGAACCGGCTAAATTGGCAAATAAAACCGGCTAAAAACGGCTAAAATGTTTAAACTAAATTTCACATGTTTTATTTAAATAAAACACGAGTAAAAAGACTATTTCTTAGAGAGGAGTTACAAATTCGAGTCGGAAAAAATTTTGCCAGCAAGAATTTGCAATTAGGAAAAACATTTGATTGTGGTACATGGTTGGATTTTTTGTCGACGATAATTTGAATAAACAATTTCGTGAAATTTAAAACTGGAGCGATTTTAAAATGAAAAATGTAAGTTTATACTTGTTTACTTAATTAATTTAGTTAATTCCAATGATTTGAAAGGTACTCGGCAAAAAAACTGTATTCTTAATCGGAATGCAATCTCAACCAGAGTCGATATAGTAAACCCGACAAAGAAATTGAATCGTATGTTGAAGAAAGTCGGACTGACAAGATATATACACGTAGATCCTGTTTTTTGCCCCTCTGAAAGAATTTTAAAAATTCTATACAAATTTCTTTTGTTTGAAATGCAACCGTGGACACTAGCTGGCAGAAAAGCTTGCAAATTTGCGTTCGTACAGAAAATTGCAAGTTTCTCTACATGAGAGAGAATTTGGGAGCATTTTTTCTTACTATCTGATATTTTGAGTGATAATTCTCGCTACAAGGCCTTTTCAGACTGACCGATTCTCAATACACTCAAATAGAAACCAATACACATAAAAAACGCTGTAAAAATTTCCCTTCAATTTTAAGGCAGTAAAACAACGACCTTAAGTTAACATCAACCGAGGCCATATGTTGACAAGGGATGCAAAATCACAGTTACACAAAAGAACTGGTCAGATTTTTCAGAAATCCCTTCAATTCTGATGTAAAATATGATGCCAAAAGACTGCAGATCTCCCATTTAGATGACCGGTCATATGACCGGCAGATGTCTCGTAGGATTCCCAGAGAGTTTTGCTTTACATAAAAATTTGTGCTCTTGTATTTTCATTTTGACACACTTCAGTGTTGGTTCCTTTAATTCAAGTTGGCATTCGGTTTTTGGAATTTAAGTAAGTTCTCAGCAAAAAAGTTTGTTTAAAAAAATACATATGTGTACATAGTGCTTGAAAATATCAATTTTTCCCTTACCTTAAACCTTTGGGAGTGGGCAAAAATGATGTTTTGTAATTTAGGCAGAATTGAATATGCGCTATCTGGGAAGACAATATCTACATGTAACATTTATTCTGTTTGTTGGCATTATATCCAAACACAAATGCATCTTAAGTGTCTTAACAGTGAAACAATTTCGTATTTTCTAAGTTTGCGAATAAAACTTCACACTTAAAATTAAGACATTTATAACAAACATTTTATGAAGAAAATCCCTTCTTCGTTTAAAATAAAAATAAGCGAAATCGGCCTAATTTCATACAACCCTGCCTGATATGAAAATTTTCTCCACGATAAGGCTAGTAGCCATTTCTAACAGATTTTGGGTCGCTTAGTCAAAAATGGAAACATATATACATATTTGAAATTTAAGAAAACAAGGCAAATAGCAAAATCGGCTAAAAACGGCTAATTTTTTTCTGCAAAACGGCTAACAAATCGGCTTCCGGCTAAATCGAAATTTCTCCGGCTGTTTGCTATCGCAACCGGCTAAATCTAGCCAGAAAACGGCTAAAACGGCAACACTGATGACAACACTGACCAAAACTCAGAGAGCGTAGAATACAGGGAAAATGCAAAATTAGCATGGACGTATACCTTTTCATCGGTAATACAGTCACTAATACTAATTCAAATAGGATTCCAATTTAAAATGAATAAGAACTTATTTCGGTGACTGCATTACCGACGACAGGGTGGATGTATATGCTAGTTTGCCAGTTTCTTTGTGTTCTACGCTAACTGAGCAAATAAAGCGACCGATTCCTTCATCCGCGGTAGCCGAGTGGTAGCCAGGTTCGATCCTCGGTTGGAGCGATTGCCAAAAAATTTTGTTTTTATTATTTCCTTTATTTTTCTAAATTTTATTTGATTTATATATTCAACTGTTTTTTATTTTATTTTAGTTTTTTATTTAATTTCACATTCTTTATTTTATTATTAGTTAACTTAAATTTTTATACCCGAGCGCACTTGTGCACAAGGGTATATTAATTTTGTTCACATAACGGTTGTTTGTAACAGCCAAAACGAATCGAGATAGATATTGACAAATGTATACATAAATGCTCAGAATGAATAGAGAAGTCGATTAAGCAATGTCTATCTGTCCGTCCGTCCGTGTACACGATAACTCAAGCAAAAATTGAGATATCTCAACGAAATTGGTATTGAAAATGGGCGCCCACTCCCCATATAACGGTAATTTCCAGAAATAAGAAAACTTTTTATAATAATTTTCAGACGAAAAATAAGAATATTGCAAATTTTTGGAAAATGGGCGTAGCCACGCCCACTTATGGTTACATGTGTATATATTGGTAACCGCTTCACCAATTTCTTCCAAACTTCGCACAGTTATTGGCCTTGGTACAGTGTACCAAATGGCCGAAATTTTTTTAAATCGGACAATAACCACGCCCACATCCCATATAACGGTAATTTAGAGAAATACAAAATCTTCGATAAATCATTAAATATTAAAGCTAATTTATTCAAAATTGATGGTTCCAACAATTACCGGGAAATACGTTTATGATAAAATTTTGAAAAATGGGCGTGGCACCGCCCACTTATGATCACATATATGTATCTCTGTAACCGTTATACCAATTTGTACCAAACTCGGTATGGTTATTGTGCTTGCCACATAAAAGCAAAATCTTGAAAATTATTGAAATCGGACTAAAAGTACGGCCGCTTTCCATATAACGGCAAATTTCAGAAATGCTTGAAACTTCAATATTTCGAAATTTAAGGACGCTAATTTGACGCTAAATTGATACACCCCGGCTTACCATGTAGCGGTGGCCTTCGGAAAGGTGAAAAACATATATTTAATACTTTCGCCGGGTATTTAATGTTCGGCTCCGCCCGAACTTAGACTTTCTTACTTGTTAGAGTTAAGTTTACTAAAAAAGTCAAAAACAACTAACTAAAAACAACTTAAAAAATATAGAAGTTATAATTGAATCAATAAAAAAAATTAAATGAATATTCTACTGGCCGTGGGACTCGAACCTACGACCTCGCGGCTCGTTAATCTGCATTACTGCCATCTGTCAAAGCACAGTTTTGATCAGATCAATTGCGGCGTTAATCCGGATCAACTTTGCCGTCTGTCTATGCTTTAACTCGCATTCAAATTGTGATTTATGGTTGCATGGTTAGAAGTTTAAATTCGATTTAAGAATGTGTTTACATGTGTGTGACCAAATAACATCCCAGCCAGCAAAATATCTGGAAACGTATCCGAAAATGGAAATAATTTCGTACAAAAACCTGATGTTTCATCCGTTTTCCGATTCCGTTTTCCGACGTTTTTAAGATCAATTCTCCCAGAAAACTATCGAAAATGTTAGTAAAACGGAAGCGCTTTGGGCTGTTTTCCTGAAATTTGTCTGATCAAATTTTTCGTTGAAAACAATTTTATTATGAACTTCACAGAAACTTTTTCATAGTTACTGGAAACCAAACAAAAAACAATTTTAAGATTCAGCAATTATTTCAATTTGAACAAATAATTTTAATGTGTTGCTTCTGACGGAATTCGAGCCTGGGACCTCTTGAAAGCTAACACTCACTGCACACTCAGCTACTGGCGAATACGTATACATACATGTTTTCAAATGCTCAGTTTGAACAAATATTTTAAAATTTTAGTTTTCAAACAAGATGATGACATTTTTTGGATACGAAAAGTAAACAAATATGGAAATCGTTTTCTGAACGTTTCCGGATACGAAAAATGTACGAAAACTTCACTTTTGGCTAAAAGTACGTTTCTCTGCTGGCTGGGATGGTTTGACTTAGAACTAATTGAAGCATCATATATTTCTTCTTATTTTCGAAATTCTAACACGCTATTGGACCTCTTACGAAGTTTGTTTAGTTCACCTTCCGAGAACTCCAACCTTTTAGAAACTGATAAGTATCAATACCTATCCAAAATTCAATGAACTGATGATCAGATAGAGAGAGATTCATCTTCTAAGAGCATTCATATTTTGATCTGATATGCTATAACTTTAATTGTTAAAGGCAGATCAATCACTGTTTATCTTCAGTTGGTAATAAGTAGAAGAAGGTTTGTTATCTACATATGCTCTGTATAAACCAACGCCAAAGTGCTTGATTCCAGTGGGAATTGCAAGACGAACGCTTCCAATCGAGGTAAAAGTCGCGTGCGATATCTTCTATTTCCTAGCGAATATGAGGTGATTGTGGAACATTTAATCACCATAAGATCAAGTGAAGGTTATTTAGAAATGCACCTTGCAATATAAAACCCGCATAGGCAATAACCGGACATCCCCTCCTCCCAAGCTCCAACAACAGCTTTTTGACGGCCATAATTCGGAAGATAGGATTCCACATTGTGCGGTGCACGCTAATGTATTTCCATTAGGGTGGGTCAATTCCTGTGGGAGATTTTGTCAACTATGCGTGTATAGCACAGAAGGATTCTATGTGTAATTCTAAGAAAATTTGCCGAATAAATCATGGGTCTAAAATCAATTTGGAATTTGCCAAATTGCGAAGATAGGTTTCTTAGCATTTTGCTGTAGTGTCGTAAAGAAGTGCTTAAATTTTGTACAAAAACATTTTATAAGACCTTTTTTATGGTATGAGGAATCCATTTCTGCACTTATCTTTTTCTCAAAACTTCCATCAGAGGGTGCAACAGTGAAAGTTTTCACATTTTCTTCGAAACCTATGTTCGCAATTTGGCTTAGAATTACATGTGGAATCCTCCTAAGTTATACGCGCATAGTCAAAAAACTTACGTGGAAAACAAAAACGCTTCAATTTCAGATCCTTACTTCCCAAGTGGATATGTTTTGTACTTACTTCATTACATAAAATTCTTTTAGTAATATAACCAGAGAAAATTTCAAAAGTAGGCCAAAATCTTTTAGGCGGTTACAGCGTCAATCAAAAAATAACATTTCTAAAGTTATAAAAACCGCAGTTAATTTTCTTTGATTGCAGAATGGCCGAATACCGATAGAGGCTTTATGTAGAGCTATGTTTTCCCTCGATATCTTCGATGGGCTAACCACATTTTTGGTGAATTTTTAACTGAAAATTCTACAGAATCAAATTTGACTTATACGAATTAAATTAAAAAGGATCAACGGGTTGAAAAAATCTAATTTTACTTTTTTACCGATTCTTATAGTAGATTAAAAACCCCAGCTTTTGTTTTATGTCCTTCTATAACCTTAAGATTTTAATTTCTAGTCAACACCAGGCTTCATTCGAAGAAGTCGGTTCCTATGGAGGAGTCGGTACAGTCGGACTTTCAAGTGGCAGCAGTGGCTACGGTAGCAGTGGCGGTGGCTACACTGGTCTTCAAAGTTCATCTGGCCTCTCAAGTTCTTCTGGCTTATCCGGCCTTTCTGCCGCTGAATTGGCAAGTGGTTCATCTTTCGGTGCCTCTAGCAACAGCGCTGCCTCGTTTGGTGCCACTCACTCGGCCAACTTTGGTAGCTCTGCTTCATTTGGTGCCAATTCGAATTTCGCTAGTGGTGCCAGCAATGGTGCTTCTGTAGTTATACCCGTAACTTCTGGTAGTGCATCAAGCAGTTTCACAGAACAATCTGAAAGTGTCCAGCAGCAAGTTGTCCCCGAAATAGTTGTATCAGGTGGTGCCGCTGGTGGTCACGAAAGCTATGTGCATCATGAGGAACGTCGCACTGAGAGCCAACCCGTTATTACATACACTGCACCTGTCGCTGGTGCTGAGAACTACGTACACCACGAGGAACGTCGCGTACAAACCCAAACCGCAGCCCCGATTGTGACATACGCGCCATCGGGTGGTCACGAAAGCTATGTTCACCACGAAGAACGCCGTGTTCAGAGTCAGCCTGTCTTCCAATATACGGCACCAGCTGGTGGGTCTGAAAACTACTACCACCACGAAGAACGTCGCGTACAGGCCCAACCTGTTATTCAGTACACTGTGCCCAGTGGCGGTTCAGAGAACTACGTGCATCATGAGGAACGCCGCACGCAGAGCAAGGCGCTGCCTGCCATCCAATACACCGCTCCAGCTAGTGGTCAAGAGTCTTACCTTAAGTACCGTAAAGTTACTACTTCGGCACAACCGCAGGTGATTGTCCCAGCTGCCGGTGGCACCCACTCGTCATACGTTCAACACTCAGCTTCCTCGAACGTGGCTTCTCAACTCAACAACCTATTAAGTGGCGCACTTATAACTGGTCAAACATCCTACTTGGGTGCAGGTGGACACGGTAAGGCTTACAGCTAACCAAACGCAGAAAATGATTTGATCTACCTTAATATCATCACATTTCAGGTTCCAGCGCTCTAACAGCAGCTAATTCGGGTTACGGCGGACAAAGCCGTTTCGGTTCTCAGAGCGGCTTTAACGCCCATCATGGTTTTGGTGCGCATAGTAGTTTTGGAGCGCAGAACGGTTTGAGCGCACTTAGTGATTTCGGTGCCGGTACTAATGCCGCACTTACTCAGGGCGTTCAATATGGAGCTCAGTCGAAATTCGGGTCACAATTCGGGACTGAGTCCAGCTTTAACTCCAAATTTGGTTCATCTTTTGGTGCAGAATCTGCATTTGGCGCAAACTCAGGCTTATCCTCAGGTGTAGGCGTCGGTGCATCGGGCTTACATCATTACATTTCTGAGTCTGAGCGATTGGCAAAGGCTCAAGCCCAGGATATTGGTGTTGGCGGTGTTCGCACCGGTGGTGGTCAGTTGTCTGACTTGTCGGCAGGCTATGGCAGCAATCTGGGACTTTCAGCAGGCTTAGCAGGCTCCGGTGCTGGTTACAAGAATAAGTCTTGGGAGAAGGCTTCTAAGTGGTCCTCGCAATCTGAGGTAAGTATTTATTACATACGTAGGTGAGCATTTAAGCATACAAGTTTTTCATCGCAGTTCGGACCCGATGGGCAAGTTAAAAACTATAAGGAACTGTCAACTGGTGAAAGCGAAAACTATGACATTAATGGCCAGCGTGTTGGCTACAAGGCTGCCACAACGACGCTCGACGACAACGGCAAGGTCAGCAGCTACAGTCTTCATACCTAAAAACCGTTTCGATTTCATAAACTTAAAATACTTTAATGTGTTCTTTACGCTAAGACAATCTGCGTCTTTTATTTCAACGCTAACATAAAAATATTACTTCAGAAAGTAAAGAAAAACTTTTAATTTAAATAAGTTGTAATTCGATGTTTTGGACTTAGGAAATTATCTTTGTAAGAAAGGTTTTTTAAATTTTGCATCGACCACTTTAATGATTGGACTGGTGGGTTGAGGTACCACTCCTAGGCCACGACTATATTCTCTTCGCCGTCTGTTATCCACCACAGAGGTCATGCAATAGCAGGGCTTCCAGCTAGGCACCCTATGTCCAGCGACAGTGTTGGGTTGATATTGTTCGTTATAGTTACGCTCTGTGGTCCAAACGTTAGACCAGGGTATATAGCTGTTCCAGCCATCACCTCGCCTATGGGCCGTTCCCCCATTTCCACCCCTACTATTATCAGTGGAAACATAAACCGGCACATTATTTGGGTAATACTGTGGGTAGTAGTAAGCTGGACCTGTTCCTTGACCGCTGTCTCCATAACTGCGTCGTTCAGATGAATTCTGATTCCATTGGCTTTTGTGGTCCTGTGGATTGCGCGTTTTATGCGTGGGTCCACTGCGCCCCTTAAATATGGGTACACTGGCGTCCTCTAATGGAAAAGCTAATTATTTTGGTACACATAAGACAAAAGCAAATTGTGTTTTCTGAACTGAACCAACCTTTGTCACCATCTTGCGCTGAACTCGTCCCATTGCCGTCACTGTCTCCATCGGTGGATATTTCGAATGTTATATCAGTATGAATGCCAACACGCTTCTTATGCTTCCCCACATCAGTTATTTCCACACTTTCAGTGTTCTCTAAATGGCGGTAAATATTTGAATTAATCTTCTTGAAATTACCTACAAATTAATTTCTGAAATTAATAACCTTTGGATTTTTGTGCGTCACCCGTATCAACAGTCACTCGCACGCCATGTATTTTCGGTCCAGATTTACCACCTCCAGCAGCACCGCTGTTAGTTCTGGTTGCTGTATCGCTACCTCGTTCGTTGGTTCCACCATCTGAGCCGCTTCTACTTTGATTATCGTCCACCCTGCTACCTTGTCCTGTGCCAGGCTCTAAGGGCACATCTGAATTATTTTTATTCTCCGGGTCGTCAAAATCCAACTTGGGTGACACTTTGTTTGCTTGGGCTAATTTTAAATCAGAGAACAGAAATAAAAATGTGTCAATTTGCAGAAGTTGGTTAAATCGAGAAAAGGTAAAAAGAATAAACCTGTACTTTATGAGAGCTGGGCTCGAATCATACCAGTCGTGAACGAGCAAATGAATATTTCGGATTATAATAGACGTGAACGAATTAACTCGAAATTTTCGAATTTTCCAAAATTTTTTTATTGAAAATTTTAAAGCTTGTAAGAATAATAACTCAAATCGAAAAAAAGATTCAATCATATGGTAACAATTTTGGGACCGAGGAGCGAGTGACAAAAAATATTTCCTTGACTCACCCGTCAAAGTTTTTTTTCTGGTTTTGATTTTTCTTAATTAATCTTTTATAACCGAGCGCACTTGTGCACAAGGGTATATTAACTTGGTTCGCATAACGGTTGTTTGTAACCGTTATAGATATGGACAAATGTATACATAAATGATCAGAATGAAGAGAAGTCGATTAAGCCAAGTCTGTCTGTCCGTCCGTGCGTCCGTCTGTCCGTGTACACGATAACTCGAGCAAATTTGGTATGTAGATTTCCCTTTATCCAAGGTAGGTTGGTATTGAAAATGGGCGAAATGGGCAAAAAATAAGTGTTATGAAATTTTTGGAAAATGGGCGTGACCCCGCCCACTTATGATGAAATGCTGTACCTCAGTAGCCGCTTCATCAATCCTTACCAAGCTCTGTACGAGGCTTGGGTAGGGTCTAGCTAAGAAATCTGTTGAAAATCTTTGAAATCGGGCACCTGCCATATAACGGTAATTTACAGAAACACGAAAACTGCGATAAATCAGTAAATACTTGAGCTAATTCACTTAAAATCGGTGATTGCAATAACCACTTAGCAGAAAATTAGAATATCATATTTTTGGATAATGGGCGTGGCGCCGCCTACTTATGACCACAAATGTGTATCTCGGTAACCGATTCATCAATTTCCACCAAACTCGGTGCACTTAATAACCTTGGTACGGAATAGCAATTTGTTGAAAATTATTCAAATCGGACTAAAATTACACTCTCTTCCCGTATAACGGTAAATTTTAGATATGCGAAAACTCGGATATTTCAATAACTGAGGACGCTAATTTACTTCAAGTTAATATTTACAACAATCTCAACAATAAATAAGACTGCTATAGACTTTTAGATAGTTTAAAGAAAGTTGGAACGACATTAGTTGATACCTGCGCCGGGTATATAAAATTCGGTTTCGCCCGAACTTATACTTCTTTACTTGTTATAGTTTCTTTCAGTGATGGAAAATGGGTGTGTATTGTGCCATTTTCGGCCCTTTCGGAAGCAGCCGGCACTTGAAGAACAATCGATTGATTTTCGGCACTATTTTCTTATGAATAATTTTATTTCCTGAAGCCGAGATGTAAAATCCAGAAGCCATCAATCGGGAATATAAAGCATAAGCTGACTACGCAGAGATTAAGGAGCGCGAAAACCTCCCGATTTTCATTTGGACAAAGTAGGTAAACTGAGAAATTAATTGAATGAGTCGATGTTTTCAAATGTGTTCCGTAACGCGCAGGGGTTAATTACTTACTGTCGAAGTCACATTCTTCAGCTTGCGTTGAGCATAATAAAAATACAAACGAAATACTTAATTACATGTTGTATGACCAACTGTTTTAAATTTTATTCGAAAAAAAGTACTGCGTTATAATATAACAAGTAATGATCTCAGTGAAAATGAGGTATACACTTGACTAAATTATAGTTTGGCCTTAATTACATCAGAGCTTCTTAAAGTGGGTTCCGCGGAACCCAAGGCTACCGTAGAAAAGTCACCGGGGTTCCACGAAATTAATTTGGTATGAATAAGCGCGGCGGTCGTTTTGGGTTGCACACAGAAAGAAAAGTTCTATAAACAGCTTGACCGACACGCAATTATCTACTTTCAAGTATACATATGTACTCGTAGTTAGTGTGATTGCCGTACTGAGTGTCATACCTACATAAGAGCGTTGAGCTTGCGCTTGATAGCTTGCTATTTTTTCTAACTGGTATGTGTTGTTTGCCGCTGTAGCCCAAGGGTTATATGTATACAACTTTCTACAAGGAACGCGATGAATTGGCAAATAAAATGTGAAATGTCATAACTGGGCACTTGGTAAATCACCTGAAATCTTCTTCAGATTATTTTTCGGATGGTAGTAGTAATATTGGTTTGGTACAAAATCCATTTACGAAGCATTCATAGATTTTCAGAGTACTTCCACATTGAAACACACATTTGAATCTGTGTCTCTGAAAGAGTTTTGGGTTAGTATTAAGAGTAAATATCATGAAGTCGCTAAAAAGGTCATCCTAACGTACTCTATCAACCGGGTTTTCAGCTTACACTTATACAAAAAACAAATCCAGGTCGAAATTAGAAAAACGCATACAATTTTCAGACATTATATCGAACTACTATTTAACCGACTTCACAAAAAAGGGAAAGGTTATCAATTCGTCGGAATATTTATTTTTTATTTTTTTATGTATGTTACAGCGTGACTTTAGACCACGTTAGCCGATTTCTACAATTATTTTTTTATAGGAAAGGTGTTACCTAACAGGTGGACCCATATTAATTTGGTTTAAATCTGATCATCGGATCATGAAGAAATTAACGATAATCTTAAATTTTTAAATGAGAATTCAAGTCGTTTTGGTTTTTTGCTTAAAAATTACTTGTTTATACAATAATTAATAACAGTGAAACAGTTTCATTCTTTACATTAAAATTTAAAGTATGTATACTATTTCTAGTAAAAGTTTTTATTCATATATAAATTGCAATGCCTTTGATTTTTAGTAATTTGATGTGGGGTTCCATAAAATTAATAGTGTTTAGTAAGGGTTCCATCATCTTAAAAGCTTAAGAACTATGAATTACGTAATGTAAAAATTTAAAGAATCACGCCATTTCATGTCTAGACCACTGCATATTGAACTGTGCAATATTCGCAACCGTGCCTGAATAATAGCTACAAATAATAAAGTTGCGCAAGCTGGACATTTTAATCTGCAAATCTATACTAATTATATAAAGCGAAGTCCCTTTTTTTGTAACAGGTAATCTCGCGAACGGCTGGTCCGATCTTCATGAAATTTTGTACATAAATAGCTTTCGGTAACCACCATGTTTTAGGCTAAAAAAAATTTACTTTTTTCGGGTAGGTGGACCAGGGACCGGTCTATTCGCAAAAATCGTATTTACGGTCCGATTTGCTTAAAATTCGGTACGTAGGTAGCTTTTTAGCATATATTAGCATATATGATCAATTTTTTCTGAGAATTG